GCGGCTATCAGAGGCAGAGGAAAAGTAGGTTGCCAGTAAAAGGACGAAGAACACGAGATGACCTACAGTGGGCTCCGGGCATCCAACATAGAGCCCGGGAATGGGGTTCTAAGCAGTCCAAGAACACGAAGTGGCCTACAGTTGACTCCGGGCATCCAAAATGTGGCCCGGAGAACACGAAGTGGCCTACAGTTGGCTCCTGGCATACAAAATATGGGCCGGGAATGGAGTTCTGGGTGCACAGTTGGCGCCGGGCATCCAAAATGTAGCCCGGGAGTGGAGTTCTGGGACCGCCAAGAGCGATTTTGCGAGGATGTCCCAGGCGATTTGGGCTCCGACGGCAGCCGCCGGCTTTCCCCTGGATGCCGCCCAGACCCCCTCTGGGGAGTCATGATGCTCTCTTTTGACCCTACTAGAAACCTATCAGTCTTCGCTGTTAGGTAAAAAAATCCTCCCCTAATTTTTTGCTATTTTTGAATATTCCTCCTGTAGGGGGACAGGCCCGACTTAACACTGGGCCCACCTTGCGGCGCCTCTTGCGCAGCCCCTGGTGTGCCAGCGCCGATCCCAGAAACCCGCGCGGACCTCTGAGGAATGATGCCTATGTGCAGTCGGACCCAAGCCAGAAGAACATCCTTCAAGAACATGAGACCCTCCGCCGGCCAAAACGCGCAAAACATCCAGAGTTCCCCACCCCAGAATGCACAGGAGCATCCAAAAAAAGTACGAAGAACATTAGGGTACCCTCCCCGAACCGGCCTCGATCTTGTACCTCGGTCCGACTGTAGTTGGTCGTTCTTCGAGGGGAGGCGACGGCGGAACTCTGCGTGAAGACTGTGCGACTGGCTTTAAGTCGGGTGTGTCCCTCTACAGGGGGAATATTCAAAAATAGTAAAAAAATAGTCTGGGGATGATTTTGATGGTTGCATTTTTTTTGAATATTTTTGGGGTATTTCTAGCCTTCGCCCAAAACCTGCCTGGAGGAGGACATGCCCGACCTAAGTCTGGCGGCGGCCCTCACGGAGCAACGCTTGAGCGGCCCCGATCGATCGCCCCCTTCTAGGGGCTTCGAAAAAAAGATTCCGGAATTAAACAAACTGATGTTAAAGAATCAGAAATTAATTCTGATTATGGTATTATTTAAATCTGGTTCACTTACCGGGAAATGACCTGGAAGTTACTGGCACCGAAACAAACGTCGTGGAAGTCACACGCGGGGCGCGCAGATCAATTATTAAGTTCTGAATTTTCGGGAGCGGCCAAGAGGGGGTTGACCAAGAGGGGGGGTGCAAATCGTGACCAGCGGCATGTGCGCGGCCCAGCGGGGGGGCCAGGGACGTAATGAAATAAGAAGAGGCGCCATACAATTTGGGGAACTATCATGGCCCCCGCCATGATATCCACCCCCCCTAGTCATCACCCCCCTCTTTTCCGCCCCCGAAATTTCTGAAAATGGGATTTCTTAATTCTGAATTTATTTCTTTTCCAATTTAGAAGCGAGGGCCTCGGGGTGATGCGTCGGGGCCGTTCACAGCAGCGCTCGCTCGCGGGCCGAGCACCGGGGCCCCTCGAGGAGAGCCGTCCCCACCGGCGCCGTAAGTCGGGCATGTCCTCTACAGGCAGGGTCTGGACGAGAAATAAGACATGGTCGATAAATATTCAAGCAGGGCCGAAACTAGTCAAAAAATCCTCCCCTGACTGTTTGTTACTATTTTTCAATATTCCTCCTGCAGAGGCACAGGCCCGAGTCTCCAGGGCGAGACCAGCACAGCAGCGGTCTCGAATCCACCCGTGGATTGCCCAGTAAATCCTACCCGTAGAGTTGAGAGGGGCGGAGGAAATGGAAGGTCTGCTTATGCAGAGTTCCTTTTCTAGAGCGAGCGCCTCCTCCGCCTCCTCGTCCTCCTCCTCCTCCTCCTCCTCCTCCTCCTCCTCCTCTTCCTCCTCCTCCTCCAACTCCTCCTCCTCCTCCTCCTCCTCCTCCTCCTCCTCCTCCTCCTCCTCCTCCTCCTCCTCCTCCTCCAGCTCCCCCAACTCCTCCCACTGCTCCCTCTTGGGTATGCTGTCAGAGGGGCTCTGGCACGGGGGGTAAAAGAAGAGGAGGGAAGGAGGGGAGGGAAAAAAGTAGGAAGCGGAGAAGAGGCAGGAGGCACAGCGTTGGACAAATATGGAGAACACCAGGGAGGAGAAGGAGGAGGAGGAGGAGAAGCACGAGCAGCAGCAGCAGGAGCAGCGGCAGGAGCAGGAGGAGCAGCGGCAGCAGCAGCAGGAGCAGGAGCAGGAGCAGCAGGAGCAGCAGGAGCAGCAGGAACAGCAGGAGCAGCAGGAGCAGCAGGAGCAGCAGGAGCAGCAGCAGCTGGAGCAGCACCTGGGAGGGAGCCGCCCACCCAGCCCGCAGTGGGCATCGGCAGGGGCCCCGTCGCCCCCCTGCCTCCAATCAACAAGCCCCGCGCCCGAGGGAGACCGCGCCAGCCGTGGGCGCCTGCTCCAGCATCCCCTCCAGGGTCTGCACGTCGCGGGCGTGCCTCTCCTCCGTGGCCGGGGCGCCAGCGCCCCGCCGACGAGCCGCCGCCCCCACCGTCGCCGCGGTCGTCATCGCCGCCGCCGTCCCAGACCTCCAAGGCACCGAGGAGCACAGACAAGGGGCGCCGTGCGCGGCCCCAGGGGGCCCTCGCCAGGCCCTGTAGGGCCGTGCAGAGAGACGGCTCGGGGCGCGGAGCGGGCCCTCGGGAGACGGCTGGGACTCTCCTGGGGGCCCCAGGCTGGAAAGGTCTGTACATCGGAAATCTGG